CTTGGAAGAGTTCATGTGCAAAGAGGTGCTGCCTTCTGCAGCCTCAGTCCTGTAACAGGGGGGAGTCTAAAAGCAAGGATTACGTCCTCTCTACCGTGTTCAACAGGAGAGTTTGGTCATTTAGAGAATGATCACACTACATTTGGCTTGTAACAAATTGTCTGTAGTGCATGTCCTTTCTTCTTCTTCTTGTTTAAAGCAAGTACTGTAGTTACATATCTCTGCAATATGATATGAAGCAGGAAGACTGAAAGAAGAGAATTCAAGAGACTCTTCCAGCTGTTGGGTCACCCACTTTGTACATTTTCAGCCCCCGTTTAATCTTCTGATTAAAAAAAATACTGTAGAAAAATCATAAAACATTTCAGCTGGTCTCATAAGACTGGAAAAGCAAAGTGTTTATTGATTTGCATTGTGCCACAGTGATCCTTTCACCTATTTTAGGATCAGCATCAAAGATTCCAAATAAGTATGTGCCTGAGGCTCCCGTACCAGCAAGTGAGAGTTGTCACAATACAAACCACTGATGTAGAGGCTGGTAAATGGAAATACAGAGGGATTTAATGAGCTCTGAGTCTTTTCTTGTACCAGCATCTCCATCCAGAATGCCAGAGATCACTGAGAATCACTCTCATCTCAGAAGGTCCTATATGGAACAACTATGGATTTAGGCCATGTGGGTATAAATAAAAGCAAAATTACAAATCTAGGAAACTGAAAACTATACTTGAATATAGATAGAAAGACAGAAATTCACATCTTAGATTCTATTTTTGAGTACTGAGTCAAGCCTAATCTTAAAGGAATAACACTAGAAGGCAAGGATTCCCTTTCATTTCTCTTGAAATGCAGAGGATCTTTACTGAACATGGTATTTGATGTATGCAGATGCAGCAAAAAATCATTAACAAATTAATGAAGCAGGAGACATCATATGTAAGTACTACAGAAGTAATAAACATTCCTGCAATAAGTGCCTAAGATTCCTTATCTAAATAAGACAGAAGGAACATTAGATTGCTTACTGTCTGACTCCCAAAATCTGCTATAATTGCTTGCAGTATGGCTAATAAAAGACATCAGCACATGCACTACATCTCTCTTCAGCTATATTTGACTTCAAGGAGCCAAAAATATTAACATCACAGACACTGAGAAAAAATTAGATGAGAAAAAAAAAGTAATTACCTTCATAATTATCATTATTAAACATCTTAACTGGTATGTCTAGCTGAAGAGAGCAAAAAGGGGAATGTGAGCGCACATCAAAAAGATCTGAATTTGGAGACAGAGCCTTGAGTTTGATTCAGTGTAGAATATCCTCCTTTATGATGGGGGAATTATTATTATTGGAAAATACATACCTTACCTTATCTCTATATGAAACTAGGATAGTGACGCAAGTTTCACAAAATTTACCTTAAAAATATACAAGAATAAATTACGTAATGATGCAGTTACTGCTATTTTCTGTGAAATCATAATAATACTGCCTGCAAAATAATATCTAGTGTCTTGAGGATGCGACCGTTGAAGCTGAATGGCAACAGTGAACCAGGCCCTGTACAACACTTGTAAGTGGTATAAATACAAATGGATTTTTCTCACTAATATATTCCCTTTTACTAGTTATACATACAGCACTCTGAAGATACACTTTCCAGAATAATATATTAAATATCCATAAATTATGGCATTTTTGCCATTATTTTTGGCATTTTTTTCTTTTCAGCCACTGTCTGGGCTACCGATAGCAGATGACAGCAGAGCAATTTAGCTGCCAGTCATCTTCTGTGTATGAAATCCTGTTTCCCAGTATTTGCAGTTCTGGAATCACCCAACATCATACAGCATTTATCCAGGGTGGCTCCCAACGTGCCCTGAAACCAACAGCAGCCTGGATAAACAGAAACCCAAAGGGTTGTGCCTGACCTCTGGCAACAGAGCAGGCTCGTGAGGGTGAGGGAAGCAGGAATAGAAACGTTATCTTCAAGTGCACAGCTCCAGTTGCTTCTCTCGTTGGGTTTCCTTAGGTTCTTTGTATAGAAGATAATGATAACCCAAGATTCTTATCACCCAAACAACTGTGGAAATAGCTAAACACGTGCAAGGAAATTATACCCCTTTATGTCCTTCCACGAGGACGCCCAGAGGCATCTGTACCTCCTGGTTTTGGGGGTATGTTCAGCAGCACGTTTGATCTCAGAATTGGCCAACTAAGCCTGAAGAGTAAGTTGCTCCCACTTCTGAGCAGGTAAATAAGTTCTTTGACCTGAGAAGCTGAAGGAGGTACAGTAACCCAGACAGCTTCTCTCTAACCCACTTTATCTCACATTTCAATCCTTTATTAATGTCTGTTCTCAAATTTTTTGCATTTACCATTTTTAGCTTAATGCTATGCCTTCGAAGTGGAAAGCTGACTTCTTGACATCTTTATTAAGTTTGAATTCTCTAACTCTTTGCCAAACTGTTGCTGATATTTACAAAGCAAAGTTAGAAGATATGCATTTCAAAAATGCCTGTAGCTCTATTAAGGTTTGGAAAACAGATATTATTTTTTTTCCCAAAAGATAACTTGTGTGGAATTTAGATGTCATTATGAGGAGAGTGGCTTAGCAGAATATAGCTTAAAATAAGGAAACAGGTTAAAAAAATACTAATATAGTTATAAAAGCTTTAGCTGTGAACTACACTCAACTATTTCAGTTGTATTTGCTCTTTTATATGGTTTCTCATGTAATCTTCATCCTCTCCCCCTTTTTTTGTTTACAATACTGTTGTATGATCTGAAAATCCAATTAGACATTATATTAAAAGGTACCACAAAATAGTTATTCCTTTTATATTTCATGTGTTTATTTATTGCTTTCAGTAAATGCATGAAACTATCTCACTAAATGCATGGACGCAACGAAACAAAAAAATGAGAGCAACTGATGCTTATGCCTGACAGTGGGTGGCCAGAGAAAAAAAAAATCACGGATTTTTAATATATAATGTCTTTCTATATGTATCTTCAGAACACGAAATGTATTATCCAGCATTAAGGAGGAAGATGATTAGTGATGACACCGACCTGGTTGTGTCAGCAGCAATGAGTATCAGAGCACAGAGAGGCTGCGTCCTGGCTAACGCCTCATGCGAGGTAGAGAAATGTAAACAAAACCAGCCAAAAACCAGAACAGCAAAACCCCCACCCTGACTGTCTCAGATGTTTTAACCACAGAGTTAAATTACTGATATTCTAGAAGAGATTTTTAAAATGTTTTAAAAACCAATGGTTAATAGAAGCCAAAGCACAGCTGATATTCTGGAAGAGCTGTGGATTTTTAAAATGTGTTAAAAACCAATGGTTAATAGAAGCCAAAGCTTATGGGAGCTTACAAATTTAATAGCTATAATATACCACTGTATATAATATAACACTATATTTAATAGCTAGAATATACCATTGCACGTAATATACCACTATATGTAATATACCACTGTATTTAATAACTATAATATACCATTATATATAACATACCACAATATTTAATACCTGTAACATACCACCTGCAGACAAGCCCTTATTTCTGTTTCAGAGCAAGTGTATGTGCCCTTGAAGTTTCCTGATGTATCTCAAATCTCACTGCCTTCTCCCAACTGATTTCACAACACTACCTAATTGAAATGTGCACCTTCAGCTTTTTTTAGTTATTTCTAATGAAATTTTAAAGTATTTTTCTTTAATGCTTACTGTTAAGGAAAAAAAAAACTTTAAATATTTATATTATGTACTTTAGTTTAAAATATTTTTCTCCCAAAAATTGTTTTCCTGGTCAATGTTAAAGTACCACTTAAAAAATTCAACAAAAAAAAAATATGGAGATACACCTTATCTTAAATAATACAATATTACTGTTAAATTAGTATGAAATAAAAAGCTAGATGTGCTAGTATTGCTTTGATATATTTATCATCACAGTTATCTTCTTACTTTAAAATATTTTTCTTCCAAAAATTGTTTTCCTGGTCAATGTTAAAGTACCACTTCAAAAATTCTACACTATGTCAATAAAAAAAATGATGGAGATATATAAATATTTATATTATGTACTTTAGTTTAAAATATTTTTCTCCCAAAAATTGTTTTCCTGGTCAATGTTAAAGTACCACTTAAAAAATTCAACAAAAAAAAAATATGGAGATACACCTTATCTTAAATAATACAATATTACTGTTAAATTAGTATGAAATAAAAAGCTAGATGTGCTAGTATCAAAAATTCTACACTATGTCAATAAAAAAAATGATGGAGATATACCTTATCTTAAATAATACAATATTACTGTTAAATTAGTATGAAATAAAAAGCTAGATGTGCTAGTATTGCTTTGATATATTTATCATCACAGTTATAACCCATTTTTTGTGTTTTGTCAAAAAAGCTAATAAAGAGGCAATAAATAACTGCCTGCCAGAAAGAATATAGAAAAAGTGTTTTATCACTACTCTGAAATTCATCAAAGCACATTCCACAGAGGGAGCCAACAATCTGCATATTATGCATAATCCAGATAGAAATGCCAGTGAAATTCATCAAAGCACATTCCATAGACGGAGCCAACAATCCACATATTATGCATAATCCAGATAGAAATGCCAGTGTTTATTTGCTTATTTTCTCCTATACAAGAAGAAAACAAAATTATCCTGCATATAATCTACACCCTAATAATAATCCTGCTATTTTGAACAACTCCTTTCATCCTTTGGCCTTGCAGAGTTTCACAAAAGAAAACAGCCCGTGATATTACTGTGCTGAGAATACCAAGAGCGGGAACTTAAAGTACAGTAGAGAACCACTGTTTATATCCTAGATGTACTCATTTTTGTAAAAAAATCAGTATTTTCAAGTCTTATCTCTTAAGTTGAAAGCACGATGCTGCAGCTTCCTTTTTTTCTCTCAAAATTAAACTTTCTAGGTTGCTGCTGAGCTACAAGAAATGAGAGCTCACCTGCTTACGGAGCTGGGCTGATTTTGACAACTTCATGAAGGTCAGATGTGGTTTAAAAGCTCTTTCTTCTCCTGCCAAGATGCCCTTTTCTTGAAATATCTTCTTCATGGTTTCTGAGGGGGGAGAAAAATGTAGAGGAATGAAGATATTACATGATAGGATGCTTAAAAATGTGCTTTCAACTGTAATACAAGTCACAGCCGCTCCATGTGGAAAACCAAGATGCTGAGTACTAAAAGGTAAAGAGATTTCTAGTTGACTTCAAAGGTACATATTATTTCAGGGGAAAATAGTCTTATATTTGCAGTTAATATGGGTCACAGATCTGGCTTTACTAAAATAACAGCAATGAGAGCTGCCCATGCTGTCTGTTTTGCTGTCAAAATAGGAATCGACATTCAAACTGTTTGGGAGTTACTGGAAGTTTTGGAAACTTCAGGAGAACTCTGAGTCTGTAACAGAATTGTCTGATTTCCCAACCACTGTTCTGTGGTGACTTATATCACCTGGTTTTAGGTAACCTCCCACTCAGACCAAAGGAAATCTGAAACTGAAAGCTATAAATTCTGGCACTGGATTTACCTGGTGGAATTAGAGAACATAGGATTTACCTGGTGGAATTAGAGAACATATCCGTTATGTTGATGACTTCTGTTTGGTTTTTTAAGCTTCACTGTTGCCTTCTAAGCTCATTTCCTGCTTTTCATGTACACTTTTATCTGTCTACAGCCCAGGCCAAAGCAACTCTCCTAAGCTGACCTAGCTTACTGTTTCCCAACTCATCTGCCCAACGTAATGTTTCATTTCTTGGAAATAAAATTCAGTGTAACTTTTGAATTATGTTCCATATTTCTTTGAGTCGAAATACTTTACATAAAAAAAATTCTGTTTTAATTTTGAAAAAAAAGTTTATATAAAATTGATAAAACCTGTGGCAAAAATAATACCAAGAAACAAAATATTTATACTACTGAAAAACAGAAAAACTGCAAAATCTTTTTTTTTTTCCTTTGCAAACACAACTTCCAGTTTTTCAGTAGCTACAGGTCTACCTGACTCATACCATCCTTGAAATAAAAATCAAAATAGCTGAAAAAAGTAAAATCAATCTTATCCCATGAGTTTAATCAAACCATACCATAACGATGTATTTGCATTTAAGTGTATTACTTTTGGGCTTGATAGTTCAGCTGTAACAGAGAGATGTGGTGCTTTAATCTCCCACCTGGAAGAAAATGCATTATGCTGGGAAGCAAACAGCACAGATGGCTGAAAAAAAAATAAGAAAGGCCCAGAAAAGAGGAATCCAGGCACATCCAGCTGGTTTGCACCAGTCTGCCAGTTCATCCTCCTGTAACAGGTCATTGGAGAGTCCTTACTCTCACCATTTTTTGTTTTTTGTACTATTTAAGTGAGCTACTTTGAAATCACACCTGTGAAAAGAATTTACAAGTTTATGCACTAGTTTGCAACAGAAAAGTTCTAGAAGCAGCTCAGAGTATTCACGTGGAACCCAGAGATCAAAATTCATTTTTCTTTCTCTGCTGCTTTGATTTCTCACCTTAGGCTCCACAGTCAATTCAACTAAAGTTGGGATTTTGAAAGAAGCCAAAGAAATCAAAGACCCAAACACCATCTCTTAAACAGGCCCAACTTGAAAATTCTCTTTGATCCTTCGCTCCTCTCTTATAAGATGCTGATGCATTTTTCAAAAAAAGAATTAGCCTAGCCTTTCGGTCTAACTTATAGGATGCTGAAAAGAAAAACCAAATTAAAAATTGTAAAGCTTTTACACACTGGTAACAGAGGTTGTATTGCTGCCAGATGCTGAAAATACCCTACCAGAATGGAAAGGGACTGGTTGAGGTGGAAAGGGACCTCTTAGGGCCATCTGGTCCAACCCTCTTGCTCAAGTTGGGGCACCTAGAGCCGGTTGCCCAGGTCTATGTCTGGATGGGTCTGGCATATCTCCAAGGACAGAGGACCCCACCACTTCCCTGGGCAGCCTCCATGTATGTATATATGTATATACCAGCAGAGCTGCTATACAGATCTATGGATGTATCTAAAGATATACATCTATCTATCTATCTAGATCTACAGACCTTAGAGTATATACATCTATCTATCTAGATCTACAGACCTTAGAGCCCCTTCCAGTCCCTAAAGGGGCTCCAGGAGCGATGGAGAGGGACTCTTGATCAGGGAGGGGAGCCATAGGACGAGGGGAAAGGGTTTTAAACTGAAAGAGGGGAGATTTAGATGAAATATTAGGAAGAAATTCTTTGGTGTGAGGGTGGTGAGACCCTGGCCCAGGTTGCCCAGAGAAGCTGTGGCTGCCCCATCCCTGGAGGGGTTCAAGGCCAGGCTGGATGGGGCTTGGAGCAACCTGGTCTGGTGGGAGGTGTCCCTGCCCAGGGCAGGGGGTTGGAACTGGATGATCTTTAAGGTCCCTTCCAACCCAAACCATTCCATGATTCTGTGATTCCATACATCTATAGCTACGTATCTACATACAAGTACAATTTACCTACTTGTATTTATTTTAAATTGTGTCATATCTATAGCCATGTATCTACACACAAGTACAACTTACCTACTTGTATTTATTTTAAATTGTGTCTGTGGGAAACATGTCTAAATTCACAGGAATCCCCCAACTCTCAGCTACAAATAAGGAGGCTACAAATAAAAATTTGATGCTTCTTCAAACCAAGATATAGAAGTTCAGATTAAGTCTTTTAGTCACGGTGTGCATGGATTTCTGTGCATCCAACTGCCTGCTGATTTCCCGACGTTAGTAAGCTAATAAAACCTTACATTTATTTAAAACTGGAATTATCTGTAACAAAGCCATTTTCTGGTTCCTTTGTTTGGTTCTCTGAACAGCATCATTTGGAGCTCTCATTGCCTTTGATGTTCCAGAACAGGATTAGTATTATCTAAACTAGGTTTATGCTGCCCTGGGATATTCTGCCTCAGTCCTGGGGATTGTAAGGCTTTTCTCTGATCCCTGTAAACGTGTGTCTCAGCGGGATGGCAGAACCCAACAGCAACCACACTGCCCTCCTGTCTTCATTTCTGCTTCTACTTATCTCTCTAAATTCATCTTTTTTCACACCTGGCATCTCTAATCTAGAAAAGCCATAATGAAAATAGAAAGCATAACTTCAGAGAGAGCCTGCAGCTTTAAATTTAATAGATTTACATGTGTGTGTGTCTGCACATGTTCTTGTGGTGACCTGACTTCTCCTACAGATTGATTAAACATCGCAGGCTCAAAGGATTGGCCACACGTGCTGGTACCCCAGAGAGCCCCCGGGGAAAGGGTGACATTTCACTGGTTAAAATGACTTAAGAACACAATTAGCACAATGTTTCCTTCTTCAAAGATAACGAAAAGAGAAAGAAAACCGAGTGAATGGAGGGGGAAAAAAAAAAGAAACAAAGGAAAATGTATTCCTGAGCACAGGAAGGTTAAAAGATAATGTAATTCTATTAATATCCAGGCAGCTCTTGGAAGAAGTGGCCACAAGAAGAAAGGGGGAAGGAAGCAGAGATGCTGTGGGCAAGGGATAGTTCCAGGCTCATGAGACAGTATGAAAGTGGATTTGAAGACTGAGCAAATACACAAAGGTTGAACTTTATGATGGGGATTGCCTGGGCAGAAAGAAATTAAGAGAGTGGCCACAAGAACCGTAGAGAGACAATGCCCCTGGGTCTTAATAAATGAGGATCTGCCATCTCTCCCAGACATCAACACGACCAGAGAGACAGCAAAATCAAACAAGAGCTGTTTTTTCCGTCACTCAGCTCAGACTGACAAACGTTTGCAGCTTCAAAGTACACCCTCGAAAATTTAAGGCAATTTTTTTTACAAGCTCAATGACTTCCTGGAACAAATTTTTGGACAGCTTTCATGCTGTCTTTTATGCAATTTGAAGCACTCTGCAATACCATTTTGTACCTTATTTTTATAATGTCTACATTACTGAATGTCATCTGCCTCTTTTACGTCGGATGCAGCTGAATCCATTAGACAACTGTTTCCCTATAATTAGATTTGCAATGTGATATACGAAACTCACCCAGAACAGCTATATACTGGAAAGGCTCAAAAATTCAACAGCTACATCAATACAGGATGATTCATAGAAAAATTGCACATCGAGCCATATTCTGTAATACAAATAGCTGCTTTCTTTTCCAGAATTTCCTTAGATATGGAAAACAGCTACACGTGTAGGTTTTCTTTCAGTCTATTAAGTTCTGCTTCTCTCTAAACCATGTTCCCTCAATTAAAAGGTTTGGAATTTAGAAATGGTATTCTGGTGCTTTATAGAATTTATTTTTACTTTGCATTTGAGGCTAAAGACAAGCCAAGCACAGAGAACTTACAATTATAACTAGCATGTTCAGTCATGATCAAGAGTCCCTGATCAAGAGTCCCTCCCCATCTCTCCTGGAGCCCCTTTAGGGACTGGAAGGGGCTCTAAGATCTCCCCGGAGCCTTCTCTTCTCCAGGCTGAACAACCCCAACTCTCTCAGCCTGTCCTCACAGCAGAGGGGCTCCAGCCCTTGGAGCATTTTCATGGCCTTCTCTGGACCTGCTCCAACAGGTCCATGTCCTTCCTGTGCTGAGGACTCCAGAGCTGGACACAGCACTCCTGTTGGGGTCCCACCAGAGCAGAGCAGAGGGGCAGAATCACCTCCCTGGCCCTGCTGGCCACGCTTCTCTTGATGCAGCCCAGGATGGGGTTGGCTTTCTGGGCTGCCAGTGCACGTTTCCAGCTCATGTTGAGCTTCTCATCCACCAACACCCCCAAGTCCTTCTCCTCAGGGCTGCTCTTCAGCCATTCTCCACCCAACCTGTATTTGTGCGTGGGGTTGCCACCTCCCAGGTGCAGGACATTGTCTGGTTGAACATCATCATGTTTGCACAAGCCCACCTCTCCAGCCTGTCCAGGTCCCTCTAGATGGTATCCCTTCCCTCCAGCGTGTCGACTGCGCCACACAGCTTGGTGCCATTGGCAAACTTGCTGAAGGTGCTCTCTGTCCCACTGTCCATGTCTCCAACAAAGATGTTGAACAGCACTGGTCCCAGTACTGACCC